AGGATTCCACTAAGGTCCTATACTCTGTAAAGGCTTTGCATGAGGCCTATTTCACTGGGCAAGTTGTAGAACCCCTTTTAGGTATTCCAATCAGTTGTAGGCTAAAGATGAAAATTATTCAGTTGTGACTCTATCTTCCCCTGCACACTCTTAAACTAAACTCCCTCTTGAAAACCTGTAAGCCAGTAACTTTGTGCCTTTATTGTCCCCTCATTTTAGGTAGCCAATGTCTAAGTTGCCCAACCTTATCTACCCTGTATTCAGAGGGGATAGGATTGATACTTAATTGTGAAGACCTAAATAAATAAATTTAAGAAAACTGAAAACTGCCCTGGTGAGAAAAAGGCCATACTTAGGCTATGTTATCAGGAGGAACCAGTCCCTGGAAAAGAGCATCATGCTTGGTAAAGTGGGCCAGTGAAAAAGAGGAAGACCCCTAATGAGATGGACTGACACAGTGGCTGCAACAATGGGGTCAATCCTAACAACAATTGTGAAGTTGGCCCAGCACCAGACAGTGCTTTTGTTCTGTTGTGCGTAGGGTCACTATGAGTCAGAGTTGGCTCCGTGGCACCTAACAACAGCAACAATAGGTCTAATGCTATTATTTAGGGTCAAGAAAAGATTCCCTAATGAAGTGAAACTAGAGCTGTTATCTGAAAGTTGAAGAGGCAAATTAATGAGGTAAAAGAGTGGCAGTGAGGGTAAAATGAATGTCAGGTGGAAGAACAGCAAAGAGTCTGAGACAGGAAGGAAGCATGGCACTTGTAAAAGAACTAGAAAAGAGATATGTGCCTGGAGCTCACAGTTCAAGTAGGCACACAGTGTATGATGAGTCTGGAGAGGGAGGCAGGGGCCAGGTTATGAGAGATCTGGAGGCTACAGTGCTGCTACCTGTTCTCAATTCCAGACCAGTGGGCAGCAAGGTAATGATTTACATTTAGAAACAAAAATCACTTTGGTTACTGCATGGGAAATAGGTTGGAGAGGAAAGGACCAAAGAGCATGAAGGAAGAGAGACATTACATTAATTTAAGTGATAAATGATAGCATCTTGGACTGAGATGGTAGTGTATGAAAAAGATGACAAGTGGGCAGATTTGAGGGAGACTACAGATTGCATTAGGCAAATCTGCTGCACAAGACCTTTTTAAAGTGTTGAAGAGCAAAGATGTCAGCTTGAGGACTAAGGTGAGCCTGACCCAAGCCATGGTATTTTCATTAATCTCTTATGCATGCGAAAGCTGGACAGTGACTAGGGAGGACTGTAGAAGAATTGATGCTTTTGAGTTATGATGTTGGAGGAGAATATTGAAAGTGCCATGGGCTGCCAAAAGAACCAACAGATCTGAGTTGGAAGAAGTGCAGCCAGAGTGCTCCTTGGAGGCCAAGATGGCCAAACTTGGTCTCTCATACTTTGGACATATTATCAGGAGGGACCAGTTGCTGGAGAAGGATATCATGTTTGGTAAGGTGGAGGATCAGAGGAAAAGAGGAAGATGCCCAACGAGATGGATTGGCTAAGTGGCAGCATCGATGGACTCAAGCGTGGCAACAGTAGTGAGGTTGGCCCAGGATCGGGCAGTGTTTCGTTCTGCTGTGCATAGGGTCACTATGGGTGGGTACCGACTTGATGGCACCTAACAACAACAAAAACAGGTGTTCAATCTGCAGAGCTTGGTGACAGCTTGATCATGGGGGTGAGGGAGAGAAGACGCGTTAACTGCAACTCCTAGGTGGATATGGTACTGTCTATTCAGGTAATTTGCAGGAGGACCAAATTTGGGGGAAAGGTGATGAGTTTTGTTTTGAAGCTGTTGAGAGTGAAGCATCTTTAAGAAATCCAAGAAGCAACATAAGAGAAGCAGTTAATTATGCAGGTCTGGCTCAGATAGCTGTGTGAGATACTATTGGGATGAAATCAATGTTATTGTATAAAGACAAATATGGATCCTTTAAGTGGGAATTCCATGTGTCTGAATTTTTGACTTCAAGTTGTTTGGATTATGATTTCCATAGTATCTTCTGAGTTTTATGCTCTGGCAGTGATGTCCAGTATACTAAAGAAAGACTATATTACTATATTGTCATAGTAATATATTATTATTATTATTATCATTCTGACTTGCACTTTGAAAACAGAATAAACTGAAATACAAAGCACTGTACATGTTTACCTTCACAAGAATTTCTTCCCCTATTGTTCAAACAGGAGACTTGCAGAATGAGATCTGGGGCAAGGAACAGCTGGTTTCTTGTGCAATCAGAATCAAGTGGTATACTTGTTAAAGGACTCACGTCAGGCAGAGAAAATCATATTTCTTCCCAGAACTGATACTGTCCCCACATTTTCTTTCTGTTCATTATTTTCCCTAAATTTTATCCATCCTGTTGTTGGTGAGACTATACAACCTTTATACTTTTAGAGCACTCTTTCCAGTAAGATGAATACTAACAAAGCTGATTAGTAAACAGCAAATGAAAGTTCAGGGAAGGACTAACACTATGTTTACTCTAACATGAATATTCTCATGGGTACTGAACTCTGCATTTTTCAAACAAAATATACATACAGGGAACATCTGTATCAGAATAACATAGAATGTTTTCAGAACACAACATTAAAACTTGTACCCCAAATTTCCTCCCCAAATGTGGGAGACGATGCATTTAATCTAGAAGAATATTGGAATGTATACAAGGTATGAAGAAATATCAAAGCTAAATGTTCTAGTTAAAAATAACTCAGTAATGATTCTCAAAGTGGAAAAGCATAACAAATCCAGTAATTAATATCATTTGATAAATAAATTTATGATTTTCTAAGTTATGCAAAAGGCCCAAAGTACCTGGACAAGAGTGCTGATAGTGAATATGGTGGATTTGAGGACTTCCAAAAATTCTCTCCTCCATAAAGACAATGAAGAAATTGGGGGGGAAAAGTCAGAATGAACCTTTAAAAAAAATTATTGAAATTAACCAACTGTTTACGGTAATCCAGGGAGGATATATTCGAGAAAAATGGCTCAATCTTGGGAAGAAAAAGGAGTTTTATGAAATTTAAGCT